ACTGAGAAAGTTGCAGAATTTCTAACATCTAAGTAATTTGACCCTGGGCATGTTTTTGAACTCAGCAGTAGGCAGCCACAGTTGTGTATGCCTGGACGTCCTTTTACTTCTCACTACAGTTTGGATACGTTCCTGTCAGGAAATCCTGTTACTGTATAGGCTTCTGATGATCATTTAGAGAATGTGAACTGGAGAAGAAAGTCTTCCACCCTTGTCTCAGAATGTGGTTTCAGTGAGTGTATGTTCTTGCATGACAAGCAAATGATTGTCATCCCCCAAAGTCTCAAGGGACACGGATGTCATCTTAATAAAGAAATTAAAAGGTACATCTTTTCATGAGAAACCTCGTAAATTTGTGACCTGTCACAGAAAATAGTTCTCTAATTGGTTTTGTGTGGTGGTGCACGGGAGTCGTTTCCCGAGATGTCATCCCAGCCGAGCACCACTGTACATCATTGTCAACGGCTAGTGAGATCTCCCTATAAGAGGGGGAGTATAGAAATGCGGCCAGCCTCATAAAGGAAAAAGCTGATTCATAATCTACTCTCCTGACCAATATTTTCACCTTGAGATTAAAAAGAAAAATTAGTGGAAAACCAGCTAAATACAGAGATTTAAAGCTTCTAAGTATGGGGTGGGAGGAAAGATAATCCAAATTTGTTTCATATTTGTTGACTGGACATTTCTACTTTAAGCAGCTAAATAGTTGTCCTGGATTCCCATAACTATATTTATATAGCACCAGATACCTGAAATGAGAAAATCAAAATTCGATTTATAATGACCCAGATGTTAAATTTCTTGTGTATAGGCCAGGTACAGTGGATCACACCTGTAATCCCAGCACTCTGGGAGGCCAAGGTAGATGGATTACCTGAGCTCAGGAGTTCGATTCCAGCCCATCTCTAAAACTAGCCGGGCATTGTGGTGGGTGCCTATAGTCTCAGCTATTCAGGAGGCTGAGGCCAGATGGCTTGAGCCCAGTAGTTTGAGGCTGCTGTGAGCTGTGACATCACAGCATTCTCTCCAGAGTGTCAGAGTGAGACTCTGTCTTAAAAATAATAAAAAATAAATTTCTCGTGTATAAACAATCAGGGTGAATGACCACATTTTTAAAGTGTATTTATCGATATACATATATTTCAAATCGTGTAGCTTTAGCTTTCCAAAGAAGTAACTTTGAAGAAAGGGAAGAGGCTGCTGAGTTGGTAAAGGATCACGTATAGTTGTATATAGGAATGCTCCAGTTAATATTATAGGCCCAGTCAGCCCCGAGAAAAGGCAGAGAGTAAAATGATTGGCAAGGAAGACATTAAAAATGTTGACCCCATTTCAAAAGTCACTGCTCAAAAGGATGATTTTTATATTGTATTTTTTTGCAGCCATGGGCCCCTGTTTTGACATTTACATTTTAGACTGAAATTCTTTAAACCAAGATATCACATCAACTTCTGACAGCATTCTCTTTTCTTTGGAAAATACAGCAAAGGATGTTGTTAGTACCTTGTGATCTGTGTGAACTAGGTAACATGCTCACAGGCATTGGACACTCATTTACATAAAATCACAATGTAGGGAAAGTTAATTTTGCTCCAAGAATACATGGCCTTCAGAGTACATTTTCAGAAGATTTCCTTTGTTAAGAAATTTAAATTCATTTTATGAATGTATATGAGTTTTCCTAACTGTCTGATTAAAGATCACAAAAAAACTCTGGTTTTGCATCTCACATTAGCAGATGGTGGACAGATGGTTTAAATTAATATTAATTTTGGAAAACTTTGCTTAAATTGTTTATACTGAAGATTAAAAGTTGGAAAGCCAGCTAACATCTCCAGGGTTATTAGTACTTCCAAACCCACTTGGAAAGTAAAATCCAGGAAATCAAAACATCTACTTCTAAAGAACCCACATCTCAAGGATAGAAATGAAGTAGGCAAAACACAATGTCTTGATATTGAAGAACATTAAAATAGGAATGGGAAAGAGAAAATACAGAACCTAGAGGGAAAAGAGCCTGGAAAATAGTAAAATTTGTATCTACAAATTGCTTTAAACTAATCGGTAATGATTTTTAAAAAATAATTTCTATACAAACAACAGCTTGTTTGAAAAAAATATTAGTAATTAATTGCTAGCAGGGACAATTCTTCCACCTTCGACTTCCATCCCTTGTATTTGAAATTAGTCTCCTAGTTTCTTCCTATAACCCCACTCCAGAAGGGGTAGGGGAGAGAGAGGGTGACGCAGAGGGAGAATGTGGGTTTGCAAAGAATTGGAGACAAAACAAGATCTCCAGCCTTTCCCTCGGTCGGCCCAATAGCAGGTATCTCATGCTGTCATGTCTGAACATATTTGTGTCCTACATTTAGATGAATGTAAAAACGTGGTGGGAATAAATTCAAAATATTCTCTAACACTTGTATGTTTTACAAACTAAATCTTTTATACACTGTCTGAATTTAAGGGAATAATCTAAAATAACCCTGTTAGCAAAACTCTTCCATTTAGTGAAAGGAGGAAAGTATGAATCACCACCTATGAAAATACACAGCTTTGCCTAAAATTATATCCTTTTTTTCCCCCAATTATTTGTCAGGCAGATGCTGGCAATTTTATTTAATTAAGCTGCTATGGTCAGGCAGGTGTCATCAAATATGCCCAAATCCAGTTGAGTCTTTTTTGTTCTCCCCAGAGCAAGAAAAGAAAAAATTTTTTTATTTACTACGTAGAAGACAGCTGACCTGAATGAGTAGCCACTTCTAGCTCTACCCTCATTCTCAGATTAGCTCACATTATTAAAAAAATTAAGAGGGAATGGAGTGATTAAAATTCAAGTCATATGAATCATTTTGAGAACAAAAATTATAGCACATGTATATTCATGTATATTACAAACTTAAATTTTATTTTAAAATTGTCAAACAAAGCCAAGCGCAGGGCTTACCCCTAGCACTCTGGGAGACCGAGGCCTGTGACTCACTTGAACTCAGGAGTTCAAGACCAGCCTGAGCAAACGCAAGACTCCTCTCTATTAAAAAATTAGAAAAACTGAGGCAAGAGGATCTCTTGAGCCCAGGAGTTTAAGGTTGCTATGAGTTATGATGATGCCATGGCACCCTACGCGAGGTGACAAAGTAAAACTCTACCTCAAAAAAAAAAAAAAATTTGTCAAATAGAAACACATTTATCTTGTTTCTAGGGTTAGATTCAACATTATTTCAAAACTGTACCCTGAGTATCTCGTACCAAATTGAATTTAGTTTCTGTGGTGCCATTTGAGTTACCATAAATAACAAGTGAGAAGCATTTCTCTAAGAAAGTTACTCACATGCATACACAGGAATAAATGGAGATACGACAATAAATAATTAGATAGTAAAGTTTTCAGAAGCATCCATGTGTTCTGAACAGGATTTATTAAATGCTGTTATTTAATACGTCTGCGTAATTGTTCTCATTAGATGAAATCTTCAAACAGCACTCTGGTGCAAACAAACAAGCACTAAGTGAGGAAGAGAATTGTGCATGGGAGTAACTCCTTGTCCAGGCTCCACCGCTAAAATGGCAGCATGATCTGGATCCCATCTTTTCTAACTTTCTTCAGCTTTCACAAATGATAAAAACCCTCCAAGGCCCCCCCAGTTTGGGGAGGCAAACAATAGTAGGACCATGCTCCTCAAGTCCCTCCTTAGAAGAATCATTTGACAGCCTTATCAAAAACAGAGGCTGTAGGCCCCACCTCCAAGCCTCAGAAATCAGAATCTTACAGAAATCTGTATTTTTAATAAGCACCCAACTTTTCTTTTGTTGGGTTCATTCGATTTTTTTTTTTTTTTTTTTTGAGACAGAGTCTTACTCTGTCCCCCTGGGGCTTCCTCAGGCTGGTCTCATCTCCTGAGCTTAAGGGATCCACCCACCTCAGTCTCCCAGAGTGTTGGGATTATAGGTGTGAGACACCAAACTGGATACACACCAGGTTTTTAATCAGATAAGGTTGGTCGGGGAGGCGCCTGTGGCTCAAAGGAGTAGGGCACCAGCCCCGTATGCCGGAGATGGCCGGTTCAAACCCAGCCCCGGCCAAAAACTGCAAAAAAAAAAAAAAAAGTAATGATAATAAATAAAATAAACAGATAGATAAGGTTGGTCAACACTGATAACAAAAAAGCTTCATGTCATTACCTTAAGGAACCCTTGCTTAAGGAACTGCAGGCAGACAGAAACAAACTTCCCCGTCCACAGTGATACAACGACTTTTTTTTTTTTTTGAAACAGAGCCTCAAGCTATCCCCCTGGGTAGAGTGCTGGTGGCATCACAGCTCACAGCAACCTCCAACTCCTGTGCTCAAGCGAGTCTCCTGCCTCCACCTCCCAAGTAGCTGGGACCACAGGCGCCCGCCACAGCGCCTGGCTATTTTGCTTTGGTTGCAGCCATCATTGTTGTTTGGCGGGTCTGGGCTGGATTCGAACCTGCCACCTTAGGTGTATGTGGCTGGTGCCTCAGCCACTTGGGCCACAGGTGCCGAGCTGATACAATGACTTTTTACTTTACTGTATCTCGGGAGGGTAAGGGATCCAACCAAGTGTCTAGATTGCAACAAAGATTGTAAATGCCTGCCTGAATGAATGGGATTTAGTTTGGAATCCTGTCAGTCACAAGTCCCTGTGACCTTGACCGTGTTACTAAATGTTCCTCGGCCACTATTTTCTCATCCTTCAAAGTGAAAATGCTGGCATTTGTGACTTTTTTGCTAGTATTGAATTAGACGTTTATTTGGGAGTACCTGCTTCATATTGCATGGCCATTTCTCTGAGTTTAATTGTATTTGAACAAAGCTAAAATGTTAGGTGTAAGTCCAAAAAGCTCTTCATGAAGTGTAAATAATCAGAAATGGAACATGATCTTACTGATTTGTTTTATTGTTTTCTTTGTTTTTTGTGGGAAAATATGTGAAGATTTAAGTCCAAGGATTATGAGAATATGTAAAGGTTATTTAAAGTGTTTGACACTTTAGTTAAAATAAAAATTAGAAGAGTAACTATCTTTTTAAAGGTCATTAAGAACTTCGGATATTTAACTTTAAGTTCCTAAAGGTTTTTCCATCATCTTCCATTTCCAAAGAAAACATGTAGAGGACCTTTAAATGAAATGGATTTTTAAAAACTTTGCACCTAGTTATTAGAGTTTTCCTAACTTTTATTGAAATATTTTTAAACTTAAATAAAATATCTTTATTTTTATTTTTCTACCAAATGCACTAATATTGGGTTTTTTAATTTTCTTTTCTTTTTTTTTAAGGGAGATACATAACATTTATCCTGGACCCTTTCCAGTACCAATTATTGATCAAAAATCACAACAAATTAAGCTTTAAAGTATTTTGTCATAAATTTTTTAAAGCATTTTCTCTCACAAAGTTATTAGAACACGGTGAACTGAATGATGATATTCATACCTGCTATCAATTTTTACAAGGCAAATCTTTGGACATACTCTTGGAAGACTTAACGAAGAATCTAAAACAAGTGTTTGAACCCCACCTGTTAAGAGCCACAAATTGGAACGTGGCACAACTATGTACATTCTGCTCTTCGATATTATTTGAGGTCACATTTACAACCATCTATGGCCACCTTCCTGCTGACAACAGGAAAGAACTTATTAATGAGCTAAGAGATGATTTTTTTAAATTTGATGGCAAGTTCTATTATTTATTATCCGACATACCCCTGGACCTTCTAGGAAATGTCAGGTCTCTTCGGAAGAAACTCATACAATGTTTATCATCAGAAAAGTTAGCTAAGATGCAAGGACAGTCAGAAGTTTTTCAAAAGAGGCAAAATACCCTGGAGAAATACTACGCGCGCGAGGACTTTGAAATAGGAGGTAAGAAACTTTGAATGAGTACTTGCCTAAAATAAAATAATTTACAATAGACCTTTGAAATAAAAAGACAAAATGGCGACCTTGAAAATTTTTATGCTCTTTCTAATTGGCTAATGATAAAATGTTTTAGTCTCAAACAACCCTTTGTGATAATTGATTTTTTTTTTTTTTTTTTTGCTGAGGTGGTAAAACAAGATACTTAATGGTGATAATGAGAAAGAGTATAACTGAGCTGCATTTATTCCTCTTATCTCACTCCCCACCTCCCCACCCCCCTACACACATTACATTTTAAACTATTCTCATTAAGCAGAAAATTAGACTTCAGAAGCCTATTGGTTCTCATTAGCATGCACTGATCCTTGGCTGGGTCTGTGTCCTAACATCTTTTAATTAGCACACTGCAAATCTAATCAGTGTAATAAACGCTATTAATCTTCCTTTTCACTTATTTTCTCCTAGCACATCATTTAGCCTTTCTCTGGGCCTCTGTGACAAACAGTATTCCAACTATGATGTGGGCAACGTATTATCTTATGCGGCACCCAGAAGCTATGTCAGCAGTGCGTGACGAAATTGACCATTTGCTACAGTCAACAGGTCAAAAGAAAGGGTCTGGATTTTCCATCCACCTCACCAGAGAACAATTGGACAGCATGATCTGCCTAGGTAATTTATTTTTATCTGTTATGAAGAAAAGAAGGTATCTCTCAGCAAACTCAGTTTATCACTCATAGCTGTTTACTAAGAGGTAGAGGACACAGCTGCCTAATTGACATAATAACACCCATTTACATCAATTATAAATTATGTAGTTTATAGCTGTAGATACTCTCATTGCATGTAAACATTAAGGCCTAGGTAATTAACTATGCAAGGTATGCAAAAGGCTAAACCAAAGCTTTGCAATTATTTGAAAAAAAAGTTTTATGCCTATTAAGTCATTTGATTCTGAGCATCTGTTGGCGTGCTAATGCTTTCCAAACACTGCTGCACTATCTTGTCAAGAACAGTATTCGGGGATTGAAGAAGAAATTATTTCAGAAAGGCACCTTGTGTTCAAAATGTATTTATTCTTCCTTAAATAGTATCTATATTTTCAGGCACAGGTTAAGGTGTTTTATATAGCTTGGAGTGTGTCATTTGCAAAAATGTAGAAAAACATGTTTTCCATTGGAAGTTCATGATGCGAACACACTCAAAAGAAAGAAAGAAAGAAACCAAGGAAGAAATAGAAAGAAAGGAAGGAAAGAGAGAGGGAGAGAAGGAAGGCAGGAGGGAAGAAAAATGAAAGAAAAATACCTACAAGCTAGTGTGAAATCTCGATGGTGAGATAAGCGTGCTCACTATTTCAGATGTGTTTGAATTTGGTAGTGACTGAAGTGTTTTCTATTTCTGCGCAGGCCTGTACCTCTGTAACTTGGGCTTTGGATTCCTGCAGATTGTATTCCCCTTTTGAGAAGGCTCCCCACTGCCACTATCTGAGTAAACATATATTCTCCAAGTGAAATTCCATATCAATAAGTTATTCTCTACTTCTTCTGCATTGATATTTCATCCTGTGATATTCTTTAAGATACGATATTCTGAATCCTTTGTACAAATACATGAGTGTTTATGTGTTTCTGTTGCTTTGTTCCTTTGACAATGTAAGCAAGTGTTTTAGCCTCTGTTGGCCTTAATTTTTTATCTTTTAAGTATGTTCCAGGTTCTTTGATGGGAACTTCTGGGAACAAAGGTCTTCTCTGTTTTAGTCAAAGTTTGCTACCTGTGAGCATCAAGAAATATGGCCTCAGTGTCCTAAACATTGTTCCCACTGGTCAGGCTAAAACCCATGGCAGGTGAAGGCTGGACACAGGCCTTGTACTGGAAATCAATTAGGAAAAATGTGTCACCTTGTAGTTTGATGTCCTTTGTATTCATTATCAAAGGAATTTTATATTTTCTTTAAGAAAGAAAATCCCAACATTATTAAAAATATAATCTATTATTTTGCCTTGTAGAATTATTTGGAAACAAATAGAGAAAATTGTGTATAATTCTGGGTAGTTGCCTTCACCTCGAAACACAGTGTTGTCTGGGTTGAAGGTTTGTAGTTTCTTTAAAGATCTAGGTTGCATTCCCCCATCTTCAAGATGGTATTGTATGAATAAGATGACGCAGACTGGGAAATAATGCAAATAAACTTCAAGGAATAGGTGTTTGTGTTCTGTACACAATTATTTCTCTTAACAATTTAGTTGAAAATCATCAGTTGTCTTTTTACTCTCAACTTCTTGCTGTTGAAAGAAAGATCATCTTTAAATTCAGTACTAAAGCAAAAGTGTTGAAATGTATTTGAGCCAAAGAAATGGCAACTATCAGCACCATAACTTGAGTCCATTGAAGCCATAGCTAGACCTTTCACCCTAGACTCCTTCATAAATTTACAGCTCTCCTATCATTAACAAATGAATAACAACAAAAATCCCAAGTGAATTTTGATTCACCTGGATAAGGGCCTGGACGTCAGCAGCCCAGAAGGCTCATGAAGGTCCATCGTGACCTGGGTTACCAGCAGAGGCCAGTGTTGTTCATTATGAGTACTGAACATGATGGAGCTGATTGTGATCTAGAAAACTGTGTTTATTTTTTTTCTTTCACAAAACAGAAGGTTTTGTGCAGATTGGAGCAAATTTTTTATATGAACCAGTTACACGCAGATGGCCTCTACAAAATAGTCATAGCTCAATTATGAGTATTTATGTCCAAGGAATGTAAATAGTATGTGCAACGTCAAAACTGACCCAAAGCAGCATTTACAGTGTACCACACGGTGTGGGTGTGTGTGCCTGTCCTTCTCACCTTCTCCAGCGTTCCATGCGTTTTAAACACAATGTTTTTTTTATAAGATATCTCGAATTTTTACTATTATAGGAAAAAATCACAATGCTAAAGTGAAGGCTGCATTTTTTTATCAGGAAGGAGAATTTTGGTACTAGCAGACCAATGGAAAAGGAGATTCTTCTTTTCACAGAGATTTTACATGTCAGCACACTTTGATTATAAATCAGGGACGAGGAGAGACATTAGACTGCCACATTGTGTTTAAGAACTTCAAAGCAATCATCTGTCATAAGAGGCTTTGATAGGTTCGTGCTTTTTCTGAGCACTTTTGAGAATCTCTTTGAAACCATTCTATTTTTTCTTTTAGAAAAAAATAACTTTTTAATATGCATTTATGTATCTTATTAGAGATTCTGCTTATCTGGATCTCAGCAACATGTTTTATCTATTAATGTTTAGTAAAAATCTCTACTATTAAATTTAAATGAAAATTTTAAATAATTTTTAGATACAATGAGGTTCAAGAACTGTCAATTGGGGCTTCAATCTCACTAGTAAAGGTAGACCAGGAAAGAAAGGAAGTTTGAGAAACTCTGAGAGAAAGAATTTTTCAGTTTTTCCAGAAAGAAAAAGAAGGCGTGGAAGTAGAATTTAGAAATGCAGTTTTCATTTATGGGAAAAAGAAGCAAAGAAAAGGTGATTCAGAAAGATGAAGAAAAAAGTTATTGCAAAGGAAGAAAGCTCTGGACATTAGATTAATAGCAAATAATCTCGAGGAACTCTTCCTGTAATTTACCTGAATAATGTATATGAGTTATATAATAGCATAAGGCTAGATGCTCAATAAATGTCATGTATTGTTATCACCAAAATGATCCTTCAGTTCCATGAAGTCCCTATGACATTTGTATTGTTTTCTTCATTTTCAATTATTTATAAACATCGGACTCCAGTCTACCTTACCCCACCATAAAAAGAACACACACGCTCTAGTAAGAACTAAGGCAAGGTGGCGTATGGCACCTGAACGGCTCAGGTGAATAGCAGACACCTGATTTTTTCAGTTACATACTTAAGTTGAGAAAAGTTGCAAATACAAGGCCTGACAATTAAGTTTATGAACTTAACACTGTACACAGAACTGTCAAAGCATTGCAAAAATTCATCAAATTGTTCATCAAAATGGTTGGCTGACTGTGAGAAGCACAGCAGACCAAGTAAACGTTGATAGGCAAACAGGAAAATCATAACTGAAAATCTTGGCATGAGAAAGGTGCGTGCAAAAATGTGCTCTTGCTTCACAGCAATCCACCAGCTCACAGGGTCTGTGAGGGAGTTGTTAGGCAGTAAACAAATAACCGTATTGCAACACCCTGCCTACTGATTTGATTCCCGCCCCCAGTGACTTTTTTCTTTACCTGAAGATAAAAGAGATATTGAAAGGAAGATATTTTGATGGCATTCAGGACATCAAAGGTAATACGATGACAGCTCTGAGGGCCATTCCAGGAAAAGAGCTCCAAAATTGCCATGAAGGGTGGAGTAGACACAGTGCATAGCTTCCCAAGGGGAGGACTTTGAAGTGACCATAGTGATATTCAGCAGTGAGAGATGTAGCACTTTTTTCTAGGATGAGTTTGGGAACTTAATTGTCAGTCCTCCTAGACTAGATCCAATTGAGGGACATTAGGATAAAAGGAGGTGTGCTAAAACTAGGTCTGGAAAAGATCTGTAATACTCTTTAGAAAGAGTATATTGTAAATTATACAAGAAGTACGAGCTTGCAGTGATTCCCCATAAAAATTATATTAAAGGTTTTGAAGCCATTGTTTGTGAGTAGTTGGGGGGAGGCTAGAAAGGAATAACCAGTTGGAAAAAATAAAGGTCCTTTATAGCAAATAATTATTATTAGGCATACTTCATGTTAAATATTTTAATGCTTTCAATATTTGAAAGCAATTTTATAGACATATTATTTCATGGGATCTTTATCCAAATACTCTGGAGGACTGTGGTGGTTGTCATTTTGCCCTTATTTTCACAGAGGAGAAAATACTACGGGTGCTGAATAACTTGCCTAAGATCAGAGATGATAAAGGAGAGAGGTAGGACTTTCACTCAGGTTTTTTAGACAAACCCACATTTTCCCGGTCAGACCTGTCTCATACCAGTGCCCTTGGGATTCTTTCCCATTGTTCTAGTTGAGAGGGGAAAGGAATTCTGTATGTCTCAATTCTACAAAGCCAGCCATGATACTCATGTGAGCAAGACCAGGACATGTGGACCAGATGATTATACAGTTGGCTACATTTTTAACTTCAGGATAAAATATTATGAGTAATAATATTAAGAATTATTGTTTGGCTAGGTGCCAAGCACTATGTTAAGTGCTTTACATATATTATTTAAGTCTCAGGTATTATTATTTCTATTTAATTACTGAGTAACAAGGTTCAGAAAGATTGTTAGTTAACCAGCTTAGATCATACAGCTAGATAGTGGCAGGGCCAGGAAATGATGCCAGTTCTGTCTAACTGCAATGCCTGCCTGTCACTACTACCACTTTAGATTAAAAAGACTGGAGAAATGGACCAGAGACCTTGAATACTATTTTATATAAGTTACATATCACTAATTCTCAAATGCAGTTGAGTTTGAAGGTTAGGATAGGGTTAGAGGTTCACATTACAATATTGTAATTTTTTTAAATAAAAATTAACTTTTTGTTTTAGAAGATTTACGGAAAAGTTACCAAGATCATAGAGTTTCCCCACACACTTTCCCTTATTAGTACTTGCCTTAGTTTGGCATGTGTGTCAAGATTGTAGGTGTTATTTTGAAAA